ATATAATATAATATAATAACAAATAGTTTTTTTCATAAGAAAAACATCAATGTTATGTCAGAGCGTTAATTATGCTACTTTTATTTAAATAAAGTTTAAAGAATTTAAGTCTTATCTGTAATCTTCAAAGTGAAATGTTTTTAATGAATTATAATTGATTTGTTTTCTGAAAAGAGGGAAAGGCATTCAGAAATCAGTAAAACTATTTGTGTGTTTGTAGCTGCTTTTATAAATTGAGTTGGTAACTAAAATTACAATGTCTAATATATTGCTTGTTTTGCAGAATGTAGTTTTACGTATTTTTCTTGCGCAACATTATGCATGCGCTATTACTATTCGTATAATGTGAGAATGTCAGGGAATATGGGAAATTTTCAGCATTGCAACGGCACAAAGTTTCCCTCTTAATTTCGCGTCATTTCTTGTTATTCTTATCTCTATAGGTAAAACAGAAGCAAAATAATATTAAAGCGCTCCGGCAAGACAATACATTTAGAAAACATTCACAGAAAACGCAGTTGTTCAAATTATCCGCATAAACTCATAAAAGTATTATGGCATTCTCAACATTTATAATTCTAAGTTTTAATTTTAACATGATTTGTATTATTTTATGCTCTAATATAATTGTTAATTTTGCTAAAACGAATCTTGTCAATAACTTTATAGATCCCATTATTCAGAAATACGAGCATTGAGAATAATTAAATGGCATTACTTTTGAGACTTTCACGGGTATTTTCTTCAGAGATGCCAATTAAATGGCATTATTTGATTTCCTGAAGGTTGTTATATGTAAATGTACGATTTCCGTTTCACTTGGTAAGTATTTAGCTTCACAAATGGAGACGTTTTGCATTGTTGTACCTACTTTGCAGCGCAACTTACGTTCCGCGTAATCGTATCTTCAACGATGATTTAATTGCCATTCTCTTTTTAATAGATGACGAGTCTATATTATACTTTATAGGATAGCTTTTAATCCTGTTGATTAAAATCGAGTTATTGAATCGTTTTCGGCTGCTAACGGTAATCGTGAATGTGAATTAGTCGTGAAAATGAGAGATCGTAAAAAGATTGATCGAATTTTATTTTAACAAAGAAACTTTATTCCATCGCAATGTTGAAAATATACCGTATACTTTGACGTGCTCGCACTATACGAATAATAACAGCGCATGCATAATGCCGAAAGAGAAATATGTAAAACTATGTCCTGCAAAACAAGCAATTTTAAACATTGCAATTTCAGTTACCAACTCAATTTATAAAAGCACCTACACACACACACACACACACACACACACACACACACACACACACACACACTTTCTGATATCTAAATGTTTTTCTCATTTTCAAAGTAAAAATTGCTTTTTATTCATTAAAAACATTTGTGAATTTGAAGATTAAAGATAAGACTCAAATTTCTTAAGAGAATAAGTAATTTATTTGAATCATAGAATTTCCTAATTTTGTAGATTTATTTTATATTCTATAACGAAATTTTTACATGAATTGGTAATGTCAAGCTTCTTTGAGATGTTCAATGTTTTTTTAATATTATTAAGTCTGCAGATAGTATTATTTAATTTGTCGAAATTCTGTGTGCGAATCTAAAAGTATGAAAAAACTCTAAAATTAAATAGATCTTATTATAGAATTACATCTTTCAACGAAGATATAATTTTAATTCTCGCTTTATTTCGTGAAGTTCTTGAGAGTATTCACGAGAAAATGATATTGGAAGCGAAACTATTATACAGATAAAATATAACAGATGTTGGAGCGCAGTTTCTTTCATGTGAAGTTTGTTGTAATTTCTAATGAGAAACGTGCCCTATAATAGATGAACTTCGGAAGAACGCTCACAACCTTTATAAAACCGCTTTAAATGCGTGAAATCGTGTGGGCGCGCGTACTGCCGAGGATAAATCTTGCCAAGCTAATAGGCTTATGTCACGGTTAAAACTCGCTCTTTTTAGATAATTGGACGAGAGAAAAGAGAAACGCTGCTCTCGGCGGTTATGACGGAGAATTTTCTATTTCATTCATGAAAGAGAAAAATTAGCTATCACTCATCATTTCACGGAAAATCTAATTTTTATCAGAACCTGTTTTATTGTCTTTAAAAATCATTTCTAGAAAATCAGTGACATTAATCCCTTTTTTTTTTCGTTGTAACTTAAAATTTCATCATTTGCAAAATATATTAAAACGAATATTGTATCGATGTTTCATTTAATTCACTTTTATTCAATGTGTTCATTCAATTTGTGTGTGCGAGTTTTCTAATAGAAGATTTATACAATATAACAATGAAATAGCAAATTAAATTAAGATTGCCAAATCTGTAAACTTTTGCCATTCGTACTGTAGTGACTTATTTGCAGCTGAAATCGTTTAGGGCGTAGTAAACTGCAAGCATTTCATTTTGCTTGCAAAGGTGAAACGCATCATTTCGAACGCACTTTATTCGTTCTTTATCGTAATTTCAAAGACTCAGTCTTATAATCTTATCAGCAGGATGCAGGTATAATCACAACAACAGAAGAAAGGGCTTTTAAGTGCACTAAAGAGTGTATTGCCACAAACCTCTCGTACCACAAAGTTTGAGGCTTTGTGCATAGCGGAGTTCATTACAGCTGTGATTTCTATGAAGGAGCACAACGTTTTAGTCGTTAATTTTCAAACGGGATAAAGAATATTTACAAAAAATATTTTTTAATTCAATTACCTCTTGTGACATAATTTATTTATTCTATAAATATAATACATATAAATAAATAATATCTTTAAATTTATAATGGCACAGAAATAATATAAACCAATAGAACAATTATATTAATTTTTAATTACATATGTCATAGTTGCCGGATTTTTTGGCATACTTACTTTTTTATACTTTTACGGAAATATAGAGCATATAAACTTTTTTTAAATTGTTTATATTAGTTTCAAATATTTATATTAAATAATTTTTTTAAATAATTTACCTCTCTAAAATAACAACATTAATATCTTGAACATAAAATCTTGAAAATTGAAAGCTTTCTTCTCAAAGATTTTTTTTACTTTACATTTAAAGAAATTAGACAAAAGAGATGTATAACATAGTTTTCTGATTGTACAATCCATTATGCATACAAATTGACAAATTGGCTGTTAAAGATACACAAGTGTTTGCCTGGCAAATAAATTGTACGAAAGTAGGTATGTGCAGAAAAATCGATGTATTTAATTGATTTAACATAAGATACATATTTTCACAATGCAGATGAGTATATAAAATGTTTCTTGGTTATAAAACAAATATTTACGTTGTATAGTATAGTACACATTCAAAGATAAATTTTTATTTAATTAGGCAGCATCTTTTTTTTATAATTTAAATTGTTGCAGAAAGAGAAAAAGAGAGAAAAACAACCAATTAAAGTTGTTTTCGATCATAGCTGAAGTACATATTTGTTCGAACCCATAAGCGACTAAAATAAATCTAGAGCACCATGATTGAAAAACACGGAACTGTAAACGACTACATTTATTTATCGTTGTTACCGTTGTAAATATCAAATGGTGTATACGGCACGTATATTCGTAAATTACTGTAGCCACTGTGTGCATACATAATAAACTTTGATCGCCATGAATTAAAAATTGCAGTTATCTTTTAAAAAAAATGTTCCTGCAAATTAGTTTACTAAATAATTATTATTAATTGTATATTGTTAGATAGGAGATAATAATTCTGTTTTTTTTTTCATAAAACAGTTTCTATATTTTTATATTAAAATAATTAAAATAATTTATTCAAATATGTAATTAAATCGATGGAAATATATAATTATAAAAACACTGCATATTTAAAACGCAGCATTTAATAAAATTAAATTTATATATTATATATTATCAATGTCGAATATATACTAAAAATAAAACTAAAATGTTACGAAATATAGATGAATCTATTGTACATTTCTAATTGTAATTAAAAATTTTGCTTACATTTATTTAAAAAATTGAAAAATGAGTAATTAATGAACAATAATTGCAAGAAATATGCAAATAAAAGAAGTGATGGTTGAAATACAGCTATTTAAATCGCGTTGTTGTATCTATTTATATTTGGTATCTATTTATATTTGATAGAAATGTACTTGCA